TGTCGATGTCGATTCGACGTCGTTTCGACGTCGTTTCGACGTCGATCGACGAATCATTTCTCACTGGGTTATTAAGTGTGTAATCCATCACACGTGTAATTCACTGTACGTATAATATACTACGCGATATTGGTTGTGTAGTTATTACAGGACTCTCAATAGTTATCACAGAAAGGATCGCAACAATTTGTATAGTTATTATACGCTGTCGTTACTATAGTGCATGAAATCTCTGTAATATGGAATAGACATCTACCTTCCCAGTGAGAAATGATTCATCGATGTCGAAATGATGTCGAATCGACGTCAATTCGATGATGTCGACGTCGATCGACGAATCATTTCTCACTGGGTTATTAAGTGTGTAATCCATCACACGTGTAATTCACTATACGTATAATATACTACACGTGTGGTAAGTGACTTATACTAGACTATACGTGCAATACACTATTACAGACGTGTAATATCCCATACAGCACGCATGTCTAAAAGACATCTTTGAAACGTCTTTAAGTCGTCTTTCGGATATGTATGTCTAAAAGATGACTTAAAAATATCTCAAAGATGTCTTTTACACATGCGTGCTGTACGGGATGTTAAACGTGTACATAAGCAATTACTTAAGCAATATAAGATCGGCTTGATCGATATGAGTTACTTTATTTATTAATGTTTGATTTATGTTTGATGTAAAGCATTCCAGATATCTTTTAAAGTGTAAACATTCTTGATTCAAAATGTGAACATGGTCGTATTGTTAGTCAAGGAACGGTGCGACAATAGGGCCAAAATTGGCTTTCAAGAGTAACGTATGAAATTGGTCTATCTATAGATTTTTGGACCTGTTGAACTCGAATATGAAGCTTAAAATTGTCCAAGCTTTGTGAATCAATTATAAACATAAAAGTCTGCTTTTATTGATCACCTGTCGTGTTCTCACAGTTTTTATACAATATACAACCGAAAATCTGCTGTTTTTACTGTCACATAAACTGCTATCCCATTGTCACTCAAGGTGCGACGGCCGAGTCGCTAGTCGTGCATGTGACATCGTATTCATCCCCAGAAACCGTGCCTATATGAGAAATACTGGGAATAATCTGAAATGTATATATGTCAAGCATTGCAGTATAAAATATAGAATCATAAAAATATAGAATTTTGGGTGAAAATGAATAGTTGCTTGCAGCATCCTCCTTTCCTCCTCTTCTCCCCCCCCTCTCTCTCTCTCTCAAAAATATTATTACGCCCGCAATGAGCAATGCCCGGTTTATGGCAAGTTGCCATGACACCAGACAAGAGGCCACTGTTTTGTAAATAAAGATTGTCGATTTGTGCCTGGCCCTTGTTGACAGTGGACGTGTCACGAGCATTGCTGTATTTCTACGAATAAAACCTTTGTTTAGACGTTATGTGGTCTCCTTCATTTACGAGGGCACACGCGAGTGACTTAGTGCGCGCGCGAAAGTTACGGGATCACTGCGGCCGTCGCTGTTCCACCGACTTACCATAGGCGCAACAACATTAGTAAAAACGTACTTCTCTTATCGAGAACTGTCGATAATTGAGAAAAATTTGATTGAAACAACCAGCATCGCATACCTGTAAAAAATGAGGTGCCACAGGTCAGATTAAAAAATTGTTTAAAAATATTTGCAAACAAGAAATCTGGATAAAACTTATCAGGAACTGTGGAACTCTTCGAGAACTGTAAGATTCCATAGTTGAAATCACGTTTTTCGGAAATTGAGGTGCCAACGGTCAGATTATAAAATTGTTTCAAAAGATTTACAAGCTAGGACTCTGAGTGAAATTTATCAGGAACTGCGGGACTCTTCGAGAACTAAGATTCCATAGTTGAAATCATGTTTTTCGGAAATTGAGGTGCCACGGGAAGTTAGTGCCTAATTTTTTAGAAGAAATATAAAAGAACCGACTACCTCGCCTCAATTTTGCATTTTTCTGTTTAAATTCGTAAACCATTTTCTTATTGTACAGATTAAGGGATGTTATTATACGGTGTAGATGAGGCATGTAATATAATAATGTTTCAAGTTTATTTCTAACAATAAGACATGTTTTCGAGAATTTTTAATTATTGTAAAAGAAAAATATATTTATAAAACATGACAATTTTTATTTTAAATGCTTGAATATATTATAGAATGTGTCGAAAATCTAAAATACATGATATGTCGATTTATTATGGAGAACAAAAGAATTTATGTGAGTGTATTTTTACGTATCACCATCGGATATTCTTTCCACAGACCAACAATACCATTTAACATGGATATAGAGGATATGAATAAATAAGAAAAGCGTAACAAAAAGGGGGGCTTTATATTGCAGCTACGTGATTCTTAGAAAAAGGGTTTTGGTCAGTATCGTCATCGCCGCCGCCGATCACAGCGGTGTACTTTCGCTGTGCAAACATTCTTCGTGTCTACCACTTTTGTAGTCTTTTTGATCTTTAACGATGATTTTTAATTTATATGAGTTCAATTTTTAGAACAAATTACTTCATAAGAAATGTTATACTTGTTTATAATTGAAACTTTCATCATTTGTAAATAAATTGCATTTTTTAAACAAGGAATTAGAACATTTACAAATAAATGGCATATTATTGTAAATAATAATAATAAATATATAATTGATTAAAAATTAAAAGTTATGTTTTATCTTTAGTTATTTTGAAGAAATGGCATTATTTAGTGGATAATAAAATAATGTTCTTACTATTAAACAAATTTTAGTGTTAGTGCAAAAATTAATTAAATTAAAACTATTATCCTGAGAAATTACGTAAACTTTTTTCTGACATATACAGTATAATTGGTTTTTAGTATTTATATTGTAGTATATTATTTTTTATTGCAACAGAGATTTATTAACCAATATAATCATATCCAAAGTAAATAAGCCAAAATTAACGTAAGCTTAATTATGTTGAATAAAAAAAATTGTAAAAAGTTATTTATAATAACAACTTTAGTGTGTCCATATATCTATATATAAGAATTATAGAATTAGAACCAAACGTTTTCTTTCTCTTGGGGAAGGAGCTGAAACGTCTTCACCCTCGTACTAGTTAGCTGGAACAGCTTGCTGCCTTGCACAATACATTCATACTTATTATATATACGCATCGTCACCAATACACAGGCTGTGTAGTCGTCGTCTCTTTTTCGTTAGATATGTGTGTTACACGCGTGTAAAGTGACTACACACGTCGGAACCTTTGATCTTGGCCATTTATCACTGCTTGCGAGAAAAAGTCTAATAATATTACATGTATAGACTTCATATATATATGTGTATTCATGTGTATCACATATGCATACTTAGAACCTCGTAGAAACCCTACGGATATACATATATACACACTTACCCCGGCTTCATGAAATACATTTTGTCTATGTCCAGTGGAAATGAATATAAGTTTGCTAAGAATAGTAACTAGTATTTGGACTTGTGTGTGTACAATATATAAAAACTAATGCCAATTTGTAGCTGTCATATAAATTAAATTAATCAATATAAATTAAACTACTTATGATTATGTACAATAAAAAATCGGATGTATGAAATAATAATAGTGAAATTAATCTCAAGAGTTACCAGTAATAACTATCGATATATATATATTAGTCAATCTCAACTGGCCATATTTATTAAAAGAGTTACAATATAAAAGATATACAACGTTTTGACCATATGGTTTCGATATAGCTTTGGTCCTTATCAAGTAAAATCCACTTTAAGTGAAATAAAGTCCAATTAAGAAATACATAATACTTAAAGAATTTCGTATAGAAATTGCTAACTAAGTAAAATTATTAAGGAATTTACCTAAGTCGTACAAAGAGTCATATAAATTAATTTGAAAATTTTCTGTCGAGCATGACTTCGAAGATATGAAATTATAGACTAAAGAACAAATTGTTTTATTATATGACGAATTAAAAAAATGCGTAATATTGGGAATTTACGTAGAATATGTAAAAGTTCTGGAGACGGTCACTTTGGTCACTCATAACTGAAAAAAACTGAAAATTTAAAGCTGTTTAAGGTGATCTTACTTTGACCCTAACTAACAATAAGATCATCCCAATGTTCACCTTGTGCTTCTCCTATTACTGCACAACTTTTGTCTAAAATTTTTTTACAAAGTAAACTTCAATAAAACTATAGGTTCTTATTGATTAAAATAATCCCATCCTATGTATTAAATTGTGAAGTACTATATAATAAGCAAGCAATTTTTTAAAACAATTTTAATTATATTTGTGCTTATATTTGTGCATAATAATTTATTAATAAGGTATTAATCATATTACAGAAAACAGCAGTAATGAAATTGGAGCACAACCGCCACAATCACACCAACAGCAGCAACATCCACAGCAGCATCAACAACAATATGGAGAAGTAAATCAGTTAGGCGGTGTATTCGTCAATGGAAGACCACTTCCCAATGCTGTCAGATTAAGAATAGTCGAACTTGCACAATTGGGTATTAGACCATGCGATATCTCCCGGCAGCTACGTGTCAGTCACGGATGTGTCAGTAAAATACTGGCGCGCTATCATGAAACGGGTAGTATTCTGCCAGGCGCAATTGGTGGCAGCAAACCTCGTGTAACCACACCAAAAGTCGTGCAATACATTAAGCAATTAAAGTTAAAAGATCCCGGAATCTTTGCTTGGGAGATTAGGGATCGATTGTTATCTGATGGCGTTTGTGACAAATATAACGTTCCATCAGTGTCCAGTATATCAAGGATATTGAGAAATAAAGTTGGCACAACGACAACTATGCATCATCATTCACATCATTCAGCTCATCATCATCATCATCATCATCATCATCTTTATGCAGCCGCCGCAGCGGCTGGTGCAGCCCTTTGTCCAATGCCGTATCCAACGACACCTTATCATCCAACAGCGCCGCCTTCCATCACACATCATCATCAAGGTTAGTATTTTGCATATAGTATTTACCTATTCTTCTTAATACTTTTCTATCAACTGATAAAGACTTAGAAAACTGCCAATATTAGTTTTATCAAGAGACACGGTAGTGTCTCGCGCCAAGTGTACTTGTCCACAAAGCAGGAAAATAGACATCTCAGATAGCACATGGACATTCATTGGATGTCCATTGAACGTGTACTTTCTAGACGTCGAACATCTATTTTTGGTCCATTTAAGATTTGTCGGACGTCTGATGGACATCCATGTCACATACGTTTGGCATAACTTCGAACATCCATAACATTTCTGAAATAAGACTGTTGTCGAACCTGTTTTGGACTTATTTTGGATTATCTTGGATGTATTAACGATATCTAAAATAAATCTAAAATAAGTCGAAAGCGGTCTGATTTTGGACACATCATGGACGTAATTTTTGGGATAAATGTGGAAATTTCAGCTCGCGGATGCATAGCTACGAGCCAGTTATCCTACACGTGATCTAGCGTCTATCCAGCGAGCCTGGCAAGAGCCTGCCTCTATGTGTAACATTGTGAAATCTAGCACTTATGGTAGATATGTAAGACGTTCCAATTTTCATAAGCGGACATCCATGGAATGCCCAAAATATGTCATGTATGTAAAATTTTAATTCTCTAGGTTTTGCGCCTTACAATATCTAATAGGGTGATAGTAGGGCATCAGTAGGCTTCCTATTAAAACAATTTAATTTATCAAACTAATTTTTAAATTGTGTTAAATTATATAGTCATCAAAAGTATATTCAAGTTATTGAAGTTTATCCATGACGACTCGCTGTTGGATTATATCGGCTCGCCTCTTATACTAATACGGAATGGTTTGTACTTACGAGAAAGACTATTGTATATTCAGGTTAACGTTTATCAAATCCTATGAGGATCATACAACATATTGTAAGACACAGTCTTTCAAGGAGGACAGGGTTTTGTATTGTCTTATATACATATATGTATCTCTCATGCCATGATTAAATTCCGAGACGAAGTGCGTTCATGCTGTTTCGTTGATTGTCGGAATGGCAGGTGTCCCTGATGACACACCGGCAACGATTCTTCTGCGAATCGCCTCCGAAGTCACTCTCGATCTAACTGTCTAGTCAACATTACCGATACGAGACACTGCCGGAGACATCGGAGACGAATAAAGCAAGAGAGATATAAATCAGGAGTTCTCGAATCATTTACTGCTCACCAAGTATTGTGGCCATCAGTATTATTAACTTGAGGCGTCTGCCTTGACTTGCGTCTGCCATAGAGACCCCGGGAATCCGGGAAAAATGTTTTTTTTTTCTAATAAAATATATCCAAATAATTAAATTATATAATTTGTGATTGGATAGCGCTTATACTTGGCGCGAGACACTACCGTGTCTCGTGATTGTACAAATATCTGTAAGATATGAAACCAGCAGCAGATATGCATCTGCCTTTATTCAAAGAAAACTTATTTGACAGTTTATGTTTTCCATATCATATAATGTGTTGTTCTTTCTGTTGTAATTAATATTTTCAATAAGGTTGCATCATACAATGTATGTATGCAAATATTAGTAAAAACAAATTCATTTTCTTCGCATACTTAAATTTTAATGTTTTCTACTTTTGGTTGGTTCATACAGGAATTACTTTAAATAAATTTTTTAAATAAAAGTGAATAAAAATTTACTGTATATCTTTTAAATGAGCTTCTCTCGAAAACTGTTAGCTTTTACAAAATAACATAAAAGTACCTTTTTTTAAGATATGGAGTATTTAAAAAAAATGTAAAATTAGAAAAACGTACCGACTTAAAAGTTTTTGTAGATTAGAAGGAGTAAAAGGAGTCCGTTCTTTGCTTTTTTACCTAGTATTAAGATCTGAACAGTAATATAAAAATTATTTAAGAATACTATTTCAGAAATTTTTACTTTTAACACAAATATCTTTGCGAAGAAGCGTTATAAAAAGAAATTTATAGGAACTTGTGGGATTATCTTTACCTACTCTACATGTCCACGAGAGATTGCCAGCCTTTACGAGAACACCCTGTATACATGTATAATATCATGTTTAAAAATTATTGTTAGCAATAATTGTTATTAGTACACTAAGATTCACTGATGTCTTCCCATATGAATTTACGCACATATTCACATTTCCAGATAGCAATGCCTGATGATCAGGTTTCATCATGTCATTATCTTCCGACATTGATGGAAATATGACGTATGTTTTGTAGTCATAGCATGATGATACATATCGTGAGCACAAGTTAACATACAAATGAAGAAAAGTATGAAATCACATATTGGCATTACTTGTAAACTCATGATGATCACACACTGACTGCCATAATTAATTAACACGTATTATAAGTTTTGTATGTTCAGTATTTTTGTAATTATTATACATTACAGAGCTCAAAAGAATGTTTCGGAACATTACTAGCTCTAAATGTAGATTATGACAATTTCCTCATCAATCTCACCATACAATATTTATGAATATATCATGTGAAGAGATTATAAGAATATCATAATCTACCCATACAGCACAAAGCTTCGATTAAGCTCCTAAGAAGTTCATTTCGCTGAGCTCCCGGGGAGCTTACAAAATTCGGCAAAACAAGCTTCCAAGGAATTCGTTTCGCTAAGCTCCCGGGAAGCTTACAAAATTCGACAAAACAAGCTTCCAGGAAGTTAGTACTAGTACCACTCACTGCCGCGACGTGGCGACCGCACATTAGTCTTTCTCGTAAGTAAAAATCATCCCATATTACTCCCATATAAGAGGCAAGCCGATATGCTCCGATTGCGAGTTGTCTGAATCATGGATAAACTTTAATGAGCTAAATATACTTTTGATGATTATACCCACACAGTACGGAGAACTCCTGGGGAGCTGATAAAATTTTTCATAAACTTTATTTGAACTTCAAACGAACTCGCACGTAGCTTCCTGGGTCATTTAAGCTCGCGGAGAGTTTTTAAAACATGTTTTCTGAACTCCTTGCGAACTTAAATGAAGCTCCCCGGGAGCTCCTATGTCCGCTTTTGAGAGCTCCCTAGGAGCCTTATTTAAACTCCCTGCGAGCTTAAATAAAGCTCCCAAGGAGCTCTGAAAAGCGGACATAGGAGCTTCCGGGGAGCATAGGAGCTCCGTGAGAGTTCGTTTGGAGTTCAAATGAAGCTTCTGAAAAATTTTATAAGCTCCCCAGAAGCTCCCCGAGAGTTCCCCGTGCTGTGTGAGTATACTTAAAATAAAAATCAATATAAATAATCAATATAAATCAATATTTTGTAAATGTTTCTCTTAAATATTGTTGGGGACATCGTCATTTTCATGGAGAACAAATTAGCACTCGGCTATATGTACTGTATTCCGACATTTATAGCTATTACCAAAGAGAAACCTGAGAGCGTCCACGCCGGCGTTTTACTTGTTACCGTCTTGCTAGGCTGTTTCCAGCGCCTTACGCCCACTTTCATTTTTGGAACTACTCCGCTACGCCCATTTTCAAGCACTATCGATAAAGTCTCCACTTGGTGCGTGTCTGTGCTACGCCCATTTTCCATAATTATGCCGTAAATTTTTTAATTACGTCTACACGAATTGTTTACATGATATTTACATTAACTTTTTAAATGTAGACAATGTAAACTTTATAAATTAGGTGTCAAAGCCTGTGCCTAAATTCATATGGGAAGGCACCAGTGATACCTCTAGGAATATGAATTTAGGCACAGGTAGAACATATATACATTTTCCTGTATATGCAAAATGTATAAACGTGTTAATATGTGCGTAAATTCATCTAGACATTAATGACGCCGTGTGTATGTATAGTATGAAGTAATGATCTTTAAATATTAAATATTGAAAAGCTCAAAAGATTTTATCGATTTGAAATATACCTCTTCAGTTCTCAAATAATTCACATCAAACATCAATTCCATCTTATACATTTCCTTCATTTTGATAATAATCACTGATATGGAAATTGAAAAAGTTTCATCCTATCTGTTCATTATTATTGCATTTTTAGTTGGACCATCGTCAGCGAGTAAACTGTCATCATCGTCACCCTCAGCAGTACATGATAATGGTGGACATCAATCAGCGACCAACAACGCTTTGCAGTGGCCGAGTTCTCATACTGTACATGATATTCTGGCTAATAGTTGTAATGTACAGAACTCTTCGTCATCTTCTTCACCAACTTCGTCACTCTGTTCCACGATGAACAATAATCATCATCACAATCGTCACGAGGATAGTTCTATTAACAATAATAATAACAACGGCAATAATGAGAATAACAATGATCATAGAATATCGAGCGGTTATCTTCATCACCATCATCCACATCTTGCACATCATCAACAGTATTATGCTTCAGCACTCTATCATCATCACCATCATCATCATCATCATACAAATGCTGTAACGGCAGCTACCATATCCTCTACGCTCTCTGTACAATCCATTATGTTGCAATCAGGTACCACAAGCCAACCAGCCAGCCCTTGTAATTAGGTGAAATAATAACACTATTTTATATAATATATCAGGAATAATAGGTAATCCAATAATCAATGTTTTCGTTTTCTATACACAAATAAATTTTTAAATGTATTTTTACGCATTATTCAATAATATTAGTATGAAGCTTAAAACATAGTTTAAGTAAACACGATACATGATACTTCATTGTCATCACTATTTCACAATAATAAAAAATTATAGTTAACTGAATTTGTTTCTTGTCATGGATGTTACAATTAAACTGCTAATATTATAGTTGAAGTATTAACTTTTGCATACATTTTTTTAATGAAATAATTAATTAGTAAAAGTATCACAGAACAAACAATATATATATTTAATAGATATCCAATAGATATGTGTATTTACATATCCATAGATATCCGTATCTATGGATAACTAGTAGAATGTATAAAATGCCTATATCTCCTGTCTATAATTAGCAGCAATATTAAATGGTTATACATATATTATCTATTGTATTCATGTCCACCAAATAGCTACCAAGGCTAGGCATTAAATATTCAAGCTAGTATCTTGTTGCCACAACGCACGCGGCAATTACGTGTTAGACGTTCTCACAATTAAAAATCATCCTGCAATAATATAAGAGGCAAGCCGACGAATCAATCCAACATTATCTCCGCTGGCAAAACGAATAGGACCTGAATATACAGGGTGTCTCATCTTAAATGATCCACGCAAAAATCTCCAAAAATATGAAAAATATGGAAAAACGTTTCAAACTTTTTCAATTTTTTAAATGGAACCCCCTATTGTTTATTAAACTATTTTATTCTACTAATTAATATGAATAACTTTTGTTTGAATTATATAATGTGTATAATGTGCAATAAAAATTACATAATTTAATAATTAATCGTTGACAAAAATAAAGTTACTTATCTTAATATTATTATATTAAAGATGATACAATAAGTGTTATAATATTGATTAATTGAACATTGTTTATTCAAGGAACATGTCATCGCACTAGAAAGACCGTAAATTCTTGTACGATTAATAAAATCAGTACTGTGTTGCTCTAATAACTAACACATTGTATTGCCCAAATATCTGCAAAACTATTACTAAACTATTTATTACAGTGAATTATGTATACATATAAGCACAGAGATAATAATAATATGAGTAGTTTGCAGTCTTCTGGGGTTAAACATCCTTACATATCATTGCTCATGCTTACCATTGTTTGTTTAAACAACATATTATCAAGTAAATTTTTCTTTTTCTAATATCATTAACAAAGAAATTTCATGTTGCAAAAGATAAATTGCAACGTCTTCCAAGTGTTTGAATTTTATTAGTACTTTTGGAGATAAACTATATTAATCTTCCGATATTGTTATTATTATTAAAAAACGAGCAAATAAGATTTCTCTTTAAAAAAAGATTACAGTCTTTGATTTTTCAACATTGCACACAATATGACTAATTTAATTACTGTAATAATAACAAGAGAAATCGAAAATTTTTACAATTTCTACAATTTTCTTTGTCAAATATAAAACATGACATAAAAATCACGTCTATGTGTGTCTTGTGTAAATATCACGTATAGTCTCTTTCAAGTAAGACAATGCCAGGTAAAAGTATTAAATAAAACTATTGTCTATCTGAACAGTAAGTAGAAACTTAAGACATGTCACCATGGTTCAGGTTGCTATCGGCAATTGCAGATATTCGGTCGGTATTAACACTTGTAGATGTTTGATCACTTATCACACAGGAACTGATTTCAGGATTAACATTTTCAATTCTTAGCGTTTGCTTATCATTGGAGTGACATGCATTTTCGTTTGTCAGATTATGCGCAGATTTTTCTGTTCTTGGATCATTCACAATTTGTTTCTGAGTTTCCTCCTCATAAGCAGAAAACTTTTCTAAACTAATCGCACCCACAGTTGATATTATCTCTTTTTTGTCATATTTCTTGCTAATGGTGTGCACATCTTTCGTCGACTCGTACGTGTCATCCAAGAAGTTTTCTCGCGAGCAGCATTGGTGAGAACTGCAATGTTCTCCATGACAACGAATTAGGCAATCAGTCTTCTCCGTATTTGGCTTCATCTGGTATGCAAAAATTATTATTTAACGAAGCAAGTTCAATGATAGAAAGATGTATATTAATGAAATACCTTGCAAAACTCTGGCTGTATAGTGACCTGCGTAATGCCCATTTCAACGAAGAAAGCAGAAACTTGATCTGTGATACTAGCGTAAACCTAAAAGTAAAGAATGAAAATTCGTATGTTTAATATTGAATGAAACTAACTTTTTCAAATTGAATGTATTTCCATTAAATATAATATATTTATTGTTTGAAATAAATTTATATTTAAAATAAAAAAATCGTGTTTATATACCATTGGATTCAGAAACACAATATGGACTGTACAAATAGCTTGATGCTTTGCAAGTTGCCAGACATGCAAATCGTGGACATTGACAATACCCGGAAAAGCTTCCGATAAATCTCTTTTGAGAGAATCGATATTGATGTGATTTGGAATTGTTTGCAACAATATCAGGCCTGATTCTTTCACTGAAAAAAAACAAGAGTAATAAAATAAAATTAATGGGATAAAATAAACAACTTTGAGTATTATCAAGAATGAAATTATTTTTCTTCGTGGAATAAAAAATATCTAATAAATTAACACTTTAAGTTATCTTAAATAATTATTACTATATATTATTTATGTTACTTTTTCTTTTTATCGTATTTTTTTAAATATAGCAATATACTCACTGTAGGGATAGCATAAAACAAATAGCGAAATTGACGAAATAATAGCGAAGACTGGGTCAATGTACTTGGCCACGTCGGAATCGGTGAAATACACTAAAATTGACACTAATATGACGAAAACGCATCCAAGAACATCTCGACACATTTCCATTAAACCTTCGCTTTTTGGTATTGCTAGTGGACTACGTCTTGTCTGTGCTGACAATTGTTGCTCGCCATCTTTTGTTTCTTGTGAACCTACATTTCTGAAATGTCAAGTGTCACGCTATAGTAAACAAACTTTATATGCATGAAACCGGTTTCTACTAAAATTTCAGCAAACCCTTTTCCATCGCTAATGTAAAATATCTCAAACTTTAGGATTCTTGTTATCTACGCAAGAAAGTATTTTAAGGAACTAATATAATATATTTAACATGTTTTAATATTTTATAATCTGACAAATTTACATAATTTTATTCTCTTGTATGATTAAGCGATATAAAATTAATAAACACAAACTTATGCAGCATTTAAACATATTCATTCCAAATAATTGTATATTTCTTGGCTGATTCCTTGTAATTCAAGTTATTATACAAAAAACTTCACCTGCGTAATATTACGTCACCGCTTTCCGTAATGTGCAAAAAGATGCCCTGATTGAATGTGTATCCTCCAATCAGGATGTAGCAGAAAGCGTTTAAAAGTATGCCGGAAACACCGATGCAAAAGACTGGCAATGGGTGATGCATCTCATCCAGGTGGTCGATGTGCACCAATGTCTGCAGCGCTTCCATCAACAAAGAGAAACAAAAAGATGCGAGGAAGACGCAGCAGACGAGCATCGTAACAATGTCGATTCGAGCCCACCCAAACGTGTTTTTCATCCTTCTATCTGAACGTGATTCCTGTAAAGCAAGTTTTCTACATTTGTAGGCAGTAGATTGGTAGAATTTATAATGAGTAGCTGTCCACAACTTTCTAGCATGCGTCAAATGAAGATTTTATTTTTGGAGAGTATCTATTGCTGTTTTATGTGTCTAAACTAATTTTTATTTTCAAATCTTGTAAAAGTTCCATTAAAAATTTCTTCTTAGCTTCGATTTTCTTTAAAAAGTCCTCTTGAAAATTATATATATATTTTTTTAATTTATATTACAAAATTATATGAAAGAAAATTACTAGGCATCTAGTTAACATATTTTTAATATAATTACACTTTTGGAATCTAAAAGAAATATTTTATATTATATAAAAATATAAGAATATTTATTTTCAATAAGTTATCTAAGCTACATAATATCTTTTGATATACATAATTCTACAAGTTTAGTTTTATAAAACAGACTTTTATGAAAATTAAAAAAGATATAGGAGTTATCTTTTCTTTCTTTTAACTTTCATGTTTATGTCTTTTGAATATTATTAAACATACCTTTGTTTTCGTCGATAAAGACGTAATAGAACCTTGTTCTTCACCATTAATGCAGATGGACGAGTTTCCTAATGAACTGCGATTGCTGTTATATCTTTCTCGATAACTGTACTGTAAACAATGCGTAATTTATATATAATTACAAATTTATATCACAGAGAAAATTAGATAACATTTAGAAATTCTGATAACACGAGATCAGTTTAAGACTCTTTATCAATTTCTTGCAATTCGCGTGCATGTTGTACTAAATTCGGATAAAACACGTTATGAACCTGGCCTACTTATTAAAAAGATGACGTACTAATACAAGTCCTAATGCAAATCTTTCCCAGATTCTCCGAGATTTTGCTTATGAATATATATTAATACATATACTACAAAGTCCTCAAAGAACTGAAGGAGATCAAAAGACCTTGGATTGTTCCTTTTATATACATATATACTCCACTAAGATGTTAAACTTAATAATAATAATAACAGCAATGCAATAACATATCAATTAAAGAAGAAGATTTTGTCGAAAGCTAATTACCAGTATTTTAATATTTATACTTTTAATATTTATCTCTTTTATTCTACATGTTATTCTACAGAACAGTATAAACTGTGAATATATTTATAGCCTTAGACAAAATTATTAGATATTAGATATTAGATCATTTCGATCGAAAGATTAATATGACATTGTATGCATAGATTTGTATCACTTTGCGATTGAGACTGACAAATATAGTTTTTGCAGGTTCTCTTTCACGCTTACCTTGATTGAAGCGATACAGCCAACAAGTGCCACGATGTTGCAGAGGATATGGTAAGCGTTAAGGAGCAGAGTAAGCGAGTGCGTAATATGACTTGCGACGATCTCGACCAAGAAGAAAGCCGTGGTAAAGAATAGCACCAGATACAGTTGCACCGGCTGTAGCCTCCTGAACCATTCTTTCACAGCCATGACCCTGCTCGCAAAGTCACGTGAGCGTTTCTACTCTCTACGGTATACCGTGTATATGAACGATCACTTTTCTTGCACGTGATATTATCACAACTAATCGCTATATACTATCCACAACCATATTTTATTTCATATAAATTTATCTGCGATAACTTATAAGAGATATCTTCGATCTTTCTTCGAACTCCTATAAGACGAAATTTTGTCGTAAATTTCATTATAAAACTTTGTGGGTTTACAACACATTGATTTTATTTTTTCTGAAAATTTTTCGACTTGAAATTTGTATATGAATGGAGAATGTAATAATTTAATTGAATTGAATAAGTGAGTTGAAATTATTCACTTGAAACGTTTGCTTTCGATTGAAGAAGTTACATAGTTACAGTGCTCTTTTATAAGAATGACATATACATTAGGTATAGATAAGAAAACGAGTTCAATGAAGGGAGATTATTGTTATGAGATATTCTTTATAGACGCGCTATATGAAATTGATTGGCTTTTAGTTCAGCTCTTAACTAAACTTTATTTAACTTTTTCAATTAAATTTTTAATAACTGTTATATATGCAACATTATTTAAATAGACAAAAATTAATGTATTGAAAATATTCTCCATAAAAACAATCTCTCGTTAGCGATCGATTTTAATCAACCACATGGCAAACAAAAACTGTCTATACTGTGCTTTATTTATTTTTTATAATAATTTAATAGCATAGCCATTATTTAAATCTAAACATTGTTAATATATATTTAAACATCAGAATAAAGACAAGATGGCTCTAAAAATAACTCTAAAAATTTCTTCGAATTATAACTAGTAAATAAAATTTAATTTAACATTTACACATATTAGGGTATTTGGTACAAGGCGTGCATCCGTTCGTATAGAGGTAGAGATTTCATTAATTTGAACTTAAAGGTCCTATATCACTTCGTAAACAACCATGTAAAATTTTGAAATATTAATAAAAGAAAATTAGCGAACCAATGCGCGCAATGTGATGGGACGAGCCTTGAAGGTGCGACCACCAGTTGTCTACGCGTCACTCACATTTTTACTCCGCTTTCTGCTCTGTCGTCTGATACTCGCCATCACGAGCAGACAGTTACAAGTCTACCACTCTCAACGAGTGGGGACGATAAGTGGGAGTCTACAAGGCTCATCGCACCGTATCGAAGACCCTACCCCACTAATTTTCTTTAATATCTTAAAAGTTTATGGTTATTTGCAAAATTGACATAGGACCCTTTAGTTTAATTAGTGAGAACTGTATATATAGGACAGACACACACCTAGCTTAAACTGGCATATTGACTGGCAATCTCTACGTGGTGTACATTCGGTAACGCTACTGCCGGTGGTAAACGTCAATTTTCAAGAAAATGTGTAGTTGATTTTAATATCACTATAACTCGGTTAAAAAAAATTGGTGGGAAAACTTTTAGAAAAGCATTTTGTAGGTAAACTTATGTACTTTTTAACACTTTTGTTGGATTTTTCAAGGAAAAAATTTCATCGAGTTGCAAAGCATTATCAAAAAAACATTATTTTAAGAAACAAACTACCGATAGTACACTAGCAATTACCGATACCTTCCTACATGAATTTATGAACGTATCAATATATTTATACATTTTGCATATACATACAATACATGGAAAATGTGTTCTACATATGCCTAAATTCATATAGGAAGGCATCGGTGATTCCTAGTGTACATTAAAGTAAAAACTTCAAGCTTTAAAATGCATTCTTAATTTTTTATCTAAGATTTTGCGCCGAGTTTCAGCATTTAAAAATATCAAATTTTTAACATATGAGAATTGTTCCCCAATTCTTTGGTAGCATATACATCTGTGTGTGTGTGTGTGTGTTGTATATGTTTAAAAATTGTTTACTGTTTTCGAAAAAAATTTCATATAGTTTCAAATTTCTATTACCATGCATTTTTCTAACAAGCGTTTGATAAGTGTAGATTCAATGTTTGATAAGAGTACTTCAGTGTGTCATGCTTGATAAGAGTGCAATATTTTTAGACGATATATAGATAGTAGAGAAACGAGATTTTTAATAATGGAACAACGTTTTTATAATGGAAAGAATTAAGTCAGAGATGATCTATCAACTCTATCCTATTTAGTATGTACATGTCATGAATAGGGAAGAAGAAATGAAGAAAAAGCAGATAGAAAGAGTAGTAATAAAAAGAGAAAAATTGTCGGTAATTAACATGTACGAATAATGTTGTATTTTATTATTTACCGATTACTGCAAAGAATATTATCACATCTCAGTGGTCCAGTTGGTTAAGACGCCCATCACAGATTGAGGGAGATCCCAAGTTCGAACCCTAGCTGAGGTAATATTTTTTGCAATAAACTTTATAGTAAAGTGGTAAATTGTATATCGCCAGTAATTTAAAAACAAATCTTCATGAAATTAAGCGACCTACACTGGTTAGTGTTTTTTATTAAAAAAAAAACGAATATTACAACGTTTCGGCCCTGGATTTGGGCCCTTTTCAAGTGTTCTGAAACGCAAATTACAAATTTGTATACCAGAGCTGAAGGCCTATCATAATGCAACTCTAAATTACATACCTTAGTGAATCACTGCGTCAATTATTCAATTGTTTGGCCAATGCCATGTGTCAAACTGAGTAAAGACAAAAGAGAGTCAATTAACATGAAACAAGCCACCAACGTGTTCGATAAAACTTACATATTGGTCAATTTGATTTCCTGTTCTTTGTTAGAAGAAAGGTGAGTGCTTTTGAAATGCCATATGTTGACACGATCATGTCCGGATCTGAACTGACTAGACATTGTCTGTATCTGGTTTATTTTGACGAGAGGTCGCGTTAGATTAATAAATAAATAGGAATGAACTTGTCATGTACACTGAAATTATAAAAATCTATCGGAACCAAGAAAGTCAGATATTTTCAAGGACTTTATTGTATACTGGATTTAAGTTTTCCGTGTCACGTTTTAAATTAATTGTATTCTTGTGTTTTTTGATAAAAATTATTTCGGCAACCTCCCGTTTAATTTTATGTTTTTCGTTGTGTAGTATTTTAGTATTATCCAACCAGTTAAAATCATGCTCGTGATCCAGACGGTGTCTACTCACAACCGATAAATTATTTTCATGTTTCTTAATGTCATTACAGTGTTCATCAATTCTTGTTCGGAGGTGTCTCTTTGTTTGTCCTATGTAGCAAGCATCACAGTTATTGCAATCTATCTCATATACCACTTCAGTTCTTCTGTCTATACTCAGTTTGTCTTTACCCCTCTTAATTATTTGGTTTAATTTTTTCGGTATTGTATACCGAACTTGTAACTTTGTAACTTTATAGTATTTGAATTAAAATTTAATAGATAACGAGTACTTATATAAGCATCAAATATTAAATCGATTTATCTATTAAAAAGTTAAAAAGCATATTGCATTGTAAAGCGTTAATTCTTAATTAATTTGGTTGTTTCTACTTTATAATTTAGTTAGAAATTTTGCATACCAATGCACCTCAAAAGTTTTACATCTTCCTACACACAGGAAGCTGCAAACCTGCAATCGCCATAAAACTAATACATCTTTGTTATAAATCGTAAAAACCATTAATTCTTAATTGATTTAGCCGTTTTTAATTTACAACATTTGGTCAGAAAATTCATATTTGACTGCGAGAATAAAACAGGCAATATACCGGCGCAGCGGTCCATTTCGATGCTGATCTAAACTGGTTTCGCGAGCATACATCCTCGTGATGACACAGGCACGCACATTGACACGACAAGTGCAATTCGTAGCTTGTTAGATATATAAGATCTCTGTGTTGGACCTGATTGTGAGAGGGGGGGACCGTCAAAGCGTTAGTTGCGAACATCCGGGCGCAGTAATAGGCTTTGAACAACGAAATTCTCGCTCCCACAATCGACATTGTCTAGCTGCGACAGTCAACGCAAAATCCATTGTAAGCGTAAAAGGACAAAATCATTGAGAGACGATTACGCGTCGGTAGATAGTTAAATGATTCAAATAATTAATCTTTTGTGTGCAGGGTCTTTTCCGACTCTCCAGTCAGATAAACTAAAATATTCTGAAAAACATTACGCCATGATTACTGCTATCTTATCAGTAAAAACTCAGTTGAATAGTCTATGGTCGGTATTCATATTCAGTATATCTTCAAGACCGTCTTGAATTTATCTAAAGATGCCGTATGGAACATTTCATTCGCTATGGAGTATCTGAATCATAATCTTAAGATGGACTTGATAATAAATCTGACTACGAGTACCGACTTATATAAATATAATCCTCTATAAAAAGGGAGATGTAGACCGAGAAGTGCGTGTTCGGAGTCAAAATCTATCGTTTCGTATTGTTGTCTTGTTTCGCGATGCCGATCCGTCTCGAAAACTGTTGCGAGTTTCGCGGGCCGAAGCGTGTCACGCGTTCGCGTAATAGTGCTGTGTATGTATTGTACATACATAAAATATCGAATAGCTATATGTGACAATTTTAATATTTTTATTATGGGAGGACGATTATTTCAACAATGGCTTGTAGATAGTTATATTAAAGTTGAAAAAGACCGAATTAATTATTGCAAACAAAGTCAAAAACAATTACGAGCTGAGACTTATCGAGGGCTAATTGATTATTTGGCAAATGCCGCTAATAATAACGACGATTACTATTGTAGTCCATAGCGTAAGTCCACGCGTTGTACGGTTTCACATGCATGGGTTTGCAACTTTCCACGTGAAGCGAGATCCACTCCACACCTCAGACATGGTTTGGGTATGTCACAAAATGAATGGAATAATGAGGTGAACAACCGACGTGTTAAATTATCATAATTTTTAAGCTGTTTGTTGGAAAATTATGAAATTTGACACAAATTAGTATGAACTAGTATTAATTAAAAAGTAAAAGGATAGCATACAAAAGAATATTCTGTGCACGCTTACATCAAAAATTTCTCAATCTTTTGATTTTGATTCTTGATTAAACTTAATGACGCTCATTATCATCAGCGACATTAAATATTATATTGTATTAGCGACATTAAATAAAAATATCATACTTCCTTAACACTCTCATATAAACTTCATAAGAATCGGTCAAGTGGTTTAGAAATAGTAGCTTTTTAAAAGTGCTGATGGTTTACTGATACACCCTGTATATATGCGTGTATGAGATTTTGACACTCTCTTGAAGAGACGCTTTATCGCTATGGTAATGGGAAGTTTTACTAACCTTTGAACTTCTCAGTTATTTTATTAAAAATATCTGCGAGAGTATCGGATACTCTAGGGAAGAGGAACACAATTATCGCATTCTATATATTGCCAGTCCGTATTATTTTTTACGAAATTTGTGCTGGAAATCTTCTTGGAGACAGCCGAAATCGTACGACGAGCGCATATCGCGGACTAAGGCTTATCTCAGGCTATGAGTGGATTATATCGGCTGTCCATTGTGATTATTATAAAAGTCGGTAGTAGACGATAACGTACCAATTATCTGCTTGTGTATCTAATGATCAAATAAACAACTCAGACATCATAACGAACATCAGGAAATTATAAATCCAAGGGCTCGACTGTAGTTCCTTGCTATTGAGGCCTCGATAAACGCGTTTAAGATTATCAAAATTATCACATATCCTAGAACGGTTCCATAACTGCACATTGTTTTTTCAACTCATTAACTCATTATAGGCCACTAGCAATTTATGGGCTCTGGACTGCCAGAAACCAGTAAATTCAGGACATTAGATCGAAATATGTAAAATTATGAAAAAAACTTTTTCTATACTTAACATTCAAAATGCAGATTAAAATTTAAAAAATTTTTGGGTCCGCTATCTAGTCGAAAGTCTCGAAGTATTATTGTCGCTTTTCCGAGTTGGTATCTATATTTTTTCTTTACAAAAGTACATAATATCAAAAGCTGTATAGTGCACGCATAGCATATATCTGTTGTATTTTAGTTAATATTTAAAAACTTCTTTAATTTTAAACTTGTTAAACTTCCTTAATTTTAAACCCTGAAGTTTATTTAAAGAAGTCTTAAGTAATTTAAATATTATGTTTGAGTATGAATATTATTTAAGAAGATTTGGAGCATACTTTTATACATATAAAATTCAGACAACTATTCAAAGTGTGTTTACGATATAATTAATAAAGATCAAATATTAAATTTTCTGAGGTGTTAGTTTGACCTCGTTGCAAAATCAATCTTGATACCGTATATCGGAAAGATAATTTTTTTGAAACAGTTGCAATATTTTAAAATCTTTTTCTGTGGTATCTCAAACGTATTTTATTTAACCACTCGATAACCAATGGCATTCGTTATCAGTTTCGATGTTTTTGATAATACAAATGTATTCACCAACTGACAAAGAAAATATGTGTACACTCATTCTTTCATAAATGATTTGTCATGCAGAACACAAACCTAATAAACAATATGCATAAAATTTCGGAGTTAAAGTAAAATTTATAAACTAAACGTTAGTATTCAATAAATTTACTAAATTTTCGAATTTAAGTATTTAATAATCACATCTATGATTAAATTTGATAAAAAAATATATTTTAATCGTGTTAAGAAATACACGTCTATTAATAATTCTTATTTTTTTTATAGCAAATTGATCTTCATGTACATATAATATAATACAATTTTTTAAATCTTAAAATAATTATAAAAATAATCTTAAAGATAGGATTTCTTAAATTAGAATAAAAACTTTTATTTACGCAATGAATATCTTTATATAATACTTCTACTAGTCAATGATGATGTCCAGTTGTAATCAAAGCAGGTAAAAATGATCCTATTACCAAGAATAATATTTCTTTAACTTTAAGTCCAGTAGTAGAGAGCGTTGCACCTTCAACGCTTGGCACATGCGAATAACTACTGCTTCTTGTCATCAATTCTGGCAAAACATGTACAGTGGCTACATAAAGAAATGTTCCAGCACTAAACAACATAGCCAAACCAGTTGCATTAACACTACTCAGCGTTTCTTTTCCTTCCTGAAACAATACAAAAGTTATGTAATTAATATTAATAATTAAAAATTATTCTCTACAGTACAAGAAATAATAATGGAATTGTAAATAATTAAAATTGTAAAATATTATTCATTAAATTGATATTTCTAAAATACTATGTATAATAAATATGGGATAATTCATTTTAAATAATGTATTTTAATATTTTTTCTCTGTAACTTGTCATAAACAATTTTTCAGACAAAGTTGCATGGTTTAGAAAGAAACACAAAGTGACAAAATTAGTTGGACATTGCAAAACAATTCCAACATTTTTCTAATAAATATTTAAACTATATATTTTAAGAACTCATATCATTCTTAAAATACTGTAATGTTTTCAATGTTAATATATAGTTTAAATATTTATTAGAAAAATGTTTATATTTTGCATCACTCACTTTTCCAATTCCGAAATATGTCACAAGTGCAAGACATGGTGCCGCAAGAGAAAAAATTAATAGATGTCTGCTTATCCTCTTTTTATCTACGCCTTCATGAAGGAGAAACGACACAAGTCCAAATGCAGCTGGCGCCTGAAATTTTAAGTATCTTTAATAACACGAAGGACACAAAAATTATGTAATGGCCATTAACTACATTTGTTCTTATTATAATTAATTGTTAAGACACTGTACAGCTCAAAAGCTTTACTTTGTGCAACATTATCGCCAGAAAAACTATCACTTCAACATCAGCTTGAGACGTAGTAGCAGCAGCTCCTAACGCAACCCCATCGACTGCTGCATGTACTACAAGACCTAAAGTTGCTGTAACGCTCTTCTGTCTTCCGTCGCTTTTTCTCGCTGAACACTGATCGATCAGAAGCATAAATACAAAACCAAGTACTAAACTAATTCCAATTAAAGAGTGTAAATCACCTGCGAAGACAGAAGCGTTACTCGGAGGTGTTAGGAAAGACACAATAACAGATATGAAATTACGTACCGTGCGACTCTTTTCCATTAGTAATTTCACCAGTAAATAAAGCTCTTATCCCTTCAGGTATAATCACTGCTAATGCAGTTCCAACAAGAAGACCCGCTCCTAATACCGACACCAATTGTAATTTATCCTAGACAGAACAGGCAAGACATACAGCCATATGGCACGTTTCAATGTATTTAGAATGTCGCATAGGAAATATTCCTCATTTATCAGAAAAAGTTATCTTACTTCCGACAAACTCATGACTAATGGCAAAGATCCAGCCAAGCAAGAGCCAACCAGCATAACAAGAGTGAGCATCCATAACATCGCTCCCTCTTCCATTATTTTCTCTTTGTTATTAAACGAAAGGAACTTTCCAATATTACATTATCAATTAATAAAATATACATGTAAAGCGTCAAAACTAGTTAACTGCATGTTACTCGCAGATTATAAACTTTCTCCTTGCACTGATTTGTCTCACTTATATATCACATATGTATGTACACATAATAATTTTGCGGATAAATTAATGTAAATTAATGTAAAATAACATCAATGCCCGATACACGTGAGCATTATGTTACAGTCTGCCAAATCCTAGATTGCATTACCTAGATTGCAAACATCATGGGAGTTTGGCCGAAAAAAAACTTTACGTCAGCCAAACAGTGCAGGCCAAAGTCACTAGATATCTATCTAGGGACTTTAATTTATGCTTCTGCGTGGTCTACAATGCGAGTCGTAGTCGTAAGAATAATCGACTGCGATTGGTCAATTTCGTCAGACACATAAGAATTGACCAATCAAACCGTGCTTTCCAGCAAGCGACACAAGTCGACACAAATGTCGTTCTGTCTTTCTTCGCATTCAATGAATAATAAAGACAGAACGACACTTGTGTCGACTTGTGTCGCTTGCTGGAAAGCACGGATAGTCGACTATTCTTAAGGCCAATGTCCACGATCCAAGAACTTGGTCCAAGTTCTAGTCTTCTTCTTCTTCTATCCTATGGCTCCCGGCTCAAACGCTGAGCCGACACGGCCTCCAAGTTCTAGTTTCGAGAAATGTGTAGCCAGAGAGAAGCCTGAGAGATGTCACGGCCCCGTTTTTCGTGATTGGCGAATGCGATACGCCCTCTGTGGACATTGAAAACGTGGACATTGAACTACGTAGCCAATATCCACATTTTGCCAAGTGGGTAACGCAGATTTGCGAAATTTTGGTTGCGTTTCGTGCTATAGTCAGGTCCTGTGCGATGCTCTTGTACTTAAAATTATTTTAAGTACAAGATCATTGCATGGGATCTAACCATAGCGCGGAACGGGGCTAAAATTGTGC